CACCTCCCTTCCCCTCTACTTCTCCCGAACCAAACACAGTGTAAAAATAATTTTATTTTTCCATCTAAAAATTTTCGAACCGAGTTCGACCATTGTAATTTTAATTCAAACTCGAGCGAGTTTTATCGTAATTTTAATTCAAACTCGAGCGAGTTTTATCGAGTTGAACTCGAGCTTCATAAATTGAACTCAAGCAGCTAAAGAAAAAAAATCAATCATGCTCGATAAGGCCAATTACTCAACACGGCTCGACTCGTTTGCAATTCTACTTGCGACTCAATCATGCTGCCAGAAAGTAAAGAGCTGCACGGGCCATTCACTTAATCATGTATAAATTCCCACTAATTCCCTTGAAAAACAAGGCATTTTAGCAACGAAAATAGGTGTTACAGCGATGGAACATACAATGCTTGATGGACCAATATGAGATATCACAAGGTACATCACTTCGAATTCATAACATTCAGAATCTTAATGGAAAATACCCAGAGCACGAAGATTTAGATATCTTCATCTATGTATAGTTCTTGACAGAAATATGTACATAGCGAAAGGGGGAATGAGTAATTCAAAGCACAAGAAGAGAAGCATAGCTTCTAATTTCTAAACATAAGAGGAGTGAAACAGGAAACAGAGCTGCTTAATTACTGCAAAAGTTTATTATTTATTGCACAATGCAATTTTTGATTACAAACATTTCAAACTGCAATTCACACCAATTGCAGGAGACCGAGACAACACACACAACATAAGCACAATATTATTTAAGATCATTCATGACAATGGACATAGACTATCCTCTGTTCACCAGATCTACTTAACCAGAGATGTCGATAGCCTTGGCCTCCGGCTTCTTCACCTCCCCCTTAGGCACAGTCACCGTGAGCACCCCATTCTCCATGCCCGCCTTCACTTGATCCAGCTTCGCATTTTCCGGCAGCCTGAAACGGCGGAGGAACTTGCCGGAGCTCCTCTCCACGCGGTGCCACCTGTCGTTCTTATCCTCTTGCTCCTTGCTCCTCTCCCCACTGATCTGGAGGATGGAATTGTCCTCGACCTCGACCTTGACTTCCTCCTTCTTCAGGCCAGGAACATCCACCTTGAACACGTGGGCCTCCGGCGTCTCTTTCCAGTCTATGCGCGCGTTAGCCACCGCCGAGGTTTCCTTGTCGGAGAAAGAGAAGCCCTCGAGTGGGTCCCACACGTCCAGGGAGAATGGGTCGAACACGTTGCTCCTGGGGTTGCCGAAGAAGCTTGGAATCAGAGACATTTTTTTATCTTTGATTGATTGAACAAGTGTTAAAGTTGTGGTTTTGTATTCTGCTGGGAATTTGCTGGAATTATTATTTTTCTGATGGAATTGGTGGAGGAGAAAGGGAAATTTAAAGAGCCGATTGGAAGAAAGCCGGCAAAATTCGTGGTTTCTCGAGAGGACTCGGGTAGTTCGGTAGGCTTGGCAATAGTCATGCTCTAGATCACACGTGTCCTCTCTACAAGACTCCGTATCCTTCTAGACTAATATTTGGGTTTTTATTTAGGTGATTCTACAAGGTACTTCCAAAGAAAATAAGTGTACTATAAAAAATAATAAGAAAATAGTAGAAGAATTTTAACAATCAATACAAATGAATGTGGTTTTACGTGTTAATGTTGCACCCTTTAATTTGAATTATGCTATAGCATATTATAACTTTATAATTAATCATTAAATTATAGACTAATGATTTTTATTTAGGATATTGAAAGAATATAAAATTAATTATAATATTCATTTCATTTTTTTCCTCACCAACCAAAGTTAGAGCAGTCAGATGAAAAGAAAAACCAAAGATCATACAATATATATCTATAAAGAGAGCAACAAAGCATTAAATTAAATTATCATGCATTAAATTTAATTATCCCTCCAAAACTTTCAACATTCAATTTTATTAGTTTTCACATACTATCTAAAATTGTTACATTCAGCATTCAATTTTATTTTATTCGTTTTCACATCTATATCTATCTATATATATATATATATATATATATATATATATATATATATATAAAGAGGAGCAACACAATTAATAATATTATTTCACTTTCCCTCCAAAATCGATTACAAAATATTTTATTTATTTATTTTTTCTTTTTTTCTTTACTCATCACAATTGTATAACTTTTTTTATCATCTCTTCTCCATCAATCACATTATGTAACAATCATTATTTGATCTGATCTGGAAGAACTCATACTTATTTTCTTTTCAAATTTCAATTATCTTTGATTACATAAAAATAGTTTTATACAATAATTCAGATTCCAAAATGATGTAATGTTCATTCTTCGATATGATCTGATAGGATTCATGCCTATTTCCTTTTCACTTTACTTATTTGTTGAATAAATGTAACAAAATAATTATTTATATATGTATTATATATATATAGGTAAGGGATCATATGAGAATGACTCTTAATGTGGAGAAATGAGAATGTACCGGGATCATTGGATCTACTACTTCAATGGTCATGATGAAGTCAAAATTAATTAAAAATAATCAATCATTAATGGCAATCTGGTAATTATTTGATCATAGTGTGGTCAAATATGTGCATTTGACCATAAATAAGGGTAAGTTGGTCAATACACATATATAATATTTGTGTGGGACCCACACACAAATTAACACATTTTTCTCTTTCCTCACCTCTTTCTTCCTCACGTCCAGATTCAAAATCTGCAAACACACACAGACTCACTCGCACACAGACGGCAGCCACCACCAATAGATTCGCCGGAGAAAGCCTTCACACGGCAAACCCCCGCCGCCGCCATACCCGCCTTCGAAGCCGCAGCCCGGCGCGGCCGTACGCCGCCAGAGAGCTCCGGCGTGTTCCACGTCGTCGAAATGTCCTCCGGCGCGGCCGAATAGAGGAGAGTTGACGGCGTGACCGATGGATGAACGCCGATGGGGGCGTAGTGACCGACGAGTAGGCTGTGGACAAGCAGTCTCGACGAATTCCTCTCGCATAACTCCTCCACACCGCCCCATTCTCGTCGGCGTCGATTCTCTGGTGACGGAGGTCGGTGGCGGCAGAGATGGCTGGCTGTAGAGAAGATGACGGGAGAGTTGCAGCTTTGTCAATTGAGGACTTGAGTTTGTGAATTAGATAAATAGTAAGGATTTTATTGCAATTTTAGAAACTTTAATATATTACAATTTAGAATATGGGTCAAAATTGTAATTAGTCAAACTATTCCTTCAAAAGCTCCGAGTTTCACACGAACTGAAAGACATTCTAAAATCACTTGCATTCAAACTGATTATGTCAATATTTTTATGTAATTTTTTTTTTATTTGCTATAAAAAAGGAGAATATTTTTATGTAATGTTTAGTTGAAAATAAATAATATCGTACATAAAAATATATAAAGAAAAATATAATAATATTTTTATAAATTATATTATTTAATATAAAAATCATGATTAGTATTTATTTTCTTGTTTATTTGATACTTTATAATATGTTTTGATTAAAAAAAGTTTAGTACATATGCAAAATGCACAATATTAAGTGATGATGTGCATATTAAAAATAAAAAATAAATTAGTATTTGTATTACAAAAAAAGTATTTTTATTTAATAATAATGAGATATTAAAATAATAAAAAAATATTTTGTAATTATAAATAAATTATATAATCAAAATAATAAATAAAAAGTCATTTTAATTATTTAGATTAATGCAATATACAATTATACACATAATTTATTAGAGTATAAATTAGTTAGTGCACTTTATATAGCAAAATGTCGCACTTTATAAAATAATGCGTTGCACATTATCACACCGCCTATTTAAAAAAACACACGAGCATGCTAACGTACTAAAATTAATACGTTGCACTTTATATAGTAATACATTGCACCTTATAACACAACGTGTTCCACCGTATAAAACGGCACGCTGCACGTACTAAAATTCAATAATTTTGCTAATCGATCGAATAATATTAGTTGGTTAAATGTCGGATTTATTATTTTTAAATAAATAAAATAACTGAATATGCCGAATTATATGAAAAAAATATTAGCAATTTTTTTTTTTATGAAAAATGATACTATTTTTTATCTATATTTTTGTTGCTAAAGTACTAAAATTAATACGTTGCACTTTATATAGTAATACATTGCACCTTATAACACAACTTGTTGCACCGTATAAAACGACACGCTACACGTACTAAAAATTCAATAATTTTGCTAATCAATCGAATAATATTAGTTGGTTAATTGTCGGATTTATTATTTTTAAATAAATAAAATAACTGCATACCCCGAATTATATGAAAACATATTAGCGATTTTTTTTTTTTATTTTTTATGAAAAAATAATACTATTTTTTATCTATATTTTTGTATGTATTGCCGATTGCACATTATGATTGTACAAATTGCACATAATTGTCTACCATATTGCACAAAATCGAATTAGACCAACGAACATAAATTCAGTACGAAATCTTATATTTTGTTTTGATTATTATTATTATTATTATTATTTATTATTATTATTATTATTATTATTATTATTATTACTATTATTATTATTATTATTATTATTTATATATCAATTATTTCTCGCATATTCGCAATTACATATTAAATATTTTAAATATTAAAATTTTAATCAATCTACACTTTAATTATCATGAAGATTCATTTATGAAATTGTTACTATAAATTATATACTTGTCCATTATCTAAAATGAAAAATAATCAAAGTTAATAAAATTGCAAATGTGCCCTCGACATTATTTAATTGCAAAAACCACACCCTAATTCTCAAATCACATTCTACAATTTTGGTCGGCTCAAATTGTGCCATCTCCAGCGACCGTGACCATCCCGGCTCGGTCCTGCAGCAAGCACCGACATTATCCCGTCGATTGCCGCCGCGTGGACTGCCCGTCAGCACCCTGTCCGGAACAAACATCAGCGAAGCTAGCCATGAGGATCTGTCTGACGACATATAGCGCCGTCACCGGCTCGACCACGGCTACTCCGACTCGTCTCTGTCAGTCCTTCTCAACAAGCACCGTCGCTCCTGTTGATCGCTATCGCGGGACGGCCCGCCGATTTCCAGATGCAGGCGCAGGCACTGCCGTGACCTCTGCCAACTTCCAGGGGACCAGGTGTGACCTCTGCCGACTTCCAGGTGCAGACGCCGTCGTGGATCTAGAAGGTATACTGGTTGGTGTTGGCGGAGGAGAAGACCTTCTCGTCAGATTTGAGCGGCGGGGAATGTGGATGAAGAAGGACGGCGACCGCACCGACGTTCTCAGGCGTCGGCGTGCGGCGGCGGTGACGGCCAGCTCGGTGGATGCGGCGGTTCTGTGTGGAGTGGCCGGTGCGGCGATTCTGTGTGGAGTGGCCTGTGGCTAGCGCTGTGCGTGTGTGTGTGTGTGTGTGTGTGTGTGTGTGAAATGTGTGTGCAGAGTGTGTTAGGTGTGTGTGCGTGTGTTATTTGTGTGGGTGGTGACATGGCATTGTGATGTGTTATGTTAATGTCCAAATTATCCTTAATGAAGGTATAAATTTGACTTTTTTATTAGCCATTAGATCATTCGATCCGATGACTAAGATTTATTTTTATTTATCGCATTAAGTACCATTCTCATGTGAGCGCGACCCTATATATATATATATTCAATTTTTTTATGTTTGAGTACGTAAAAATAATTCACATAATAATTCAGATTCCAAAATTATAAAATTTAATAATTAAGAAATAAAACTAAAAATATCCAGTCATCTATTTTAATATAATTGGATCAAGTACCAATATTTGCAATGGGAAGGGGAAGGGAATCATTCTTACCAACCATAACTTGATCATTGCCAGCCTCTCCTTTTCGATTTTCTGGAGTCACTGGCAACTCCAAACGGTTATAGCAGCGATCAGGTGGCCGTCCATGACGAGTTCTGGCCAGCTCTCTCTCTCTCTGCCGAGCGACAACAACTTCTCGACGGTCGCGCAGCTCCTCCAAGCCTCTTCTCCAACGACAAGGAAACGACGGAGATTGTGTACAGATCTCGGGTGATCTAAACAGCGGTGAGGAGGTCCTGTAGAGGGCTTGGACGAGCGCCAGCAGCTACTCAACAATGGCGGACATGGCTTGAACGTGAGGATGAAGAAGATGACCCCTTCTTGTACACTTAGTCATGAAATGACTATTTTACCCTTAATTAATTGGCATGTGGGCTGGCCCAACAACACTTTATATCCAAATGGGTTAGTCTTAATTAATAAATGGATTGCCTTCATTTTTAATTCCAAATAAGTGAACTACATTCACGGGTAGTGCGTAAACAGCATGAATTAAAGACACCCTGAGGCCTGGTCCGTGATGATCAAGGGCATTGGCTTGGTGGCTTCACAATGAACATAGGTATTTGCTCAATCATGGCGGCAGAATTATGGGGAGTTTTTCGAGGTTTATCCCTGGCATGGGATCTGGGGTATAGACACGTAGAAGCGGAAGTTGACAATGCGAGTGTCGTGGCCTTCGCTACATCTCTTGATGATGTCCCCGGTGTGCACATCAGGCTAGTGTCGGGCATCAAGGAACTTTTGAGTCGCCCGTGGGTGGTGAAGGTGAAACACATTTTCCGTGAAGCGAATTATGTGGCCAACTTCTTGGCTTCCTTCGCTGCGGAAGGCCCTATCGGATACCAATACCTCAATGACCCGCCAGAGGGTATTCGTCAATGGCTACAACACGATCTTATTGGCGTAGCCTACCCACGAACCGTCCGTAACGCAATCCTCTAGGCCTCAGGCCTCTTCCTTTGTACCAAAAAAAAAAAAAAAGCTACAACCATCAAAGCTAAATTATGCGAAGAGAGTATATAGTGAGAAATACAAAAGCATAATTACTACATGAAATTANTTCATTTCAATTTCTACCTCTAAGACGGTTATTTCTTTTTTATCATTATCTCTTTCTTTTCTATCATTATCTCTTTATTTCATTAACTTTTCTTCTTCGTCTCATTTTTCTCTCTTTTATTTCTTCTCTGTTTTGGCTAGGTTTGATAAAACTAGCTGATAAGCTAGCTTATAGCTCATTTGTAATTTTTTAGCTTATAGCTTATAGCTTATAACTTATAGATGAAAAACTAGCTTATATGATAAAAGTGTTTGGTAAAATTAGCTGATAAGTTAGCTGAAATAAAAAAAATTCAACTAGCTTATTTGAAAAGCTACCTAAAGTAGCTTATGAGATAAGCTCGAGCTTTTTAGAAAAGTTCGTCCTACCAAACGAGACTTATTTGAATACAGGAAGCTTATAAGCTAACCAAATAAGCTATAAGCTAGCTTATTTGACTTACCAAACACAGCCTTTATCTCCTATCCTTCTCAGATCCGCCCAAAAACTACGCCGGTTACACCCGAAAAATTATGGCGTGATTTCGACGCTGATTGTCCAGCACTTCTTTTCCTAGTGGCTGGATTCGCACCGTCGACGCCCTCTCTCCGACTATTCAGAAAATCAGACGGAGTTTGCTCCTCACCAAAAAACGATACATTCGAAACCGATCAGCCCATGGAGTTGGCCACGTGCAGTACAAGGATGACGATTCCCTTGTTGGTAATTTGATGTTCAATTTTACCATTTTTGTTTTTTTAATATGGTGTGTTTGATTTCCTTCAATTGGTTGTGTATTTTGAGGAAAATAACACTTTTGAACCATTTTTTCTGTTTATTAGACTTGTGTTATGATATGGTTGATTTTTCTCTACAGTCTGTTCATCTTCTTCCACAAAGAAGAGAAAAAAATTGCAAAAATTGCGTGCATTGTGTTTGTATAGGTGACTATTGTGTTTGCCCTATTCTTTTTTCTCTTTGATGGAAAATCAATTTATTCCCACGGCACAACATTGGAAAGATTAAAAGACGAAAAAAAACCACCTGAAAAATTGTATCTTTGCAAAAATTATATTTTTTTTTCTTTGCAAAAGTTACATCTGTCCTCGTGTTTGTATTTGTTGCTATGTTGATTGTTTAATTGTTGAAAGATAGTGGTTGACTCATTGTATTGCGGAGTTATATATCCTGTATTTTTGTATGTATAATTACTGTTTTTTGGATATTTTTAGTGGTATGTTCCAATCTTTGTGTGTTCTTAGTTTATAATTTAGTGATGCTCTGGACAAGGCAATTGCAATTTTGATTCTAATCCAAAATTGTTAATTTTTTTATTGTTAATATAAAGTTGTTTTCATGTTATTTTACCGATGTTATAATGTTGTTTTATTGTTACTTGTATGTTTTTCATGATATATATTATTAATTTTTCAAGGTACAAAACAAATATTTGTGTTTTTTTTAGTTAATTTAATGGTTATGTATGTTTATACTTAGCTGATCATTTTTTTTTAATTATTTCTTTGGTGTTGCTATTCTTGTGCATTCATTTTGAAAAGACGAAAAAGAAGAAGAAAGAGGAGAAGAGATGGGACACGTGAAATCAGATGAAGAAGAAAAGAGAGAGAAGAAAAGAGAGATGACAGGAAAAACGTGAAGAAAATAAGAGAGAAGAGGAAGAAAGAGAAATAAAAGAGGATGGAGAGAACAATTAATTATTGGATTAATTATTAAATTAATTTTATGTAACTTCTCATTATAACTGTTTTCATGTTTTGGAATGAATAATAGTAATAATGGAATTCTCCCAAACCAGTGTTTTTCATGTAAATGATTTTTAATAGTTAGTTATTTATGTAAATTTTTCCCGCATCACGTCTTTGTCCGTTGTCGTTTCCGTCTCCAATAATAATCATTCATTGGCAAAATTTGGAAAATGGTCCTATATGTTAGCCATTTTCCAAAAAATGTCCATCATATAGTCATAAAAAATGGTCCACTAAGTTGTCAATTTAATCAAAATTCGTACAAAAATCAATATAGTGTACTAAAAGTGATTGACATTTTCAGTACACCATGTTGGCTATTATACGAGTTTTGATGAAAATTGACAACTTAGTGGACCATTCCCGATGACACCCTATGTGATGGATCTTTTTCGAAAAATGACCAACATAGTGTACTAAAAATGAAATTTAATCTTTCATTCATTCACATAATTTTAACTACTCATCATTTTCAATAATATCTCTCATATTTTTACATTACAAGAGCCTTAACCATAATATTTTAAATATTATTTAAAATACAAATTCAAATCACTCAAATCTCCACTCAATCAACTTATTTTTCTAATACTTAACAAAAAAATCTAATTAAAAAAAATTATAACCAAGCACAACTTTTATTTCATCAGTTACAATATTGATTGTGGGCAGCTAATTAATCTCAATTGAGAGAGCCAAAAGAAACCGTAAACTTTGTCAAACCTGTCAGATCGATTTAAATTACATATTAATCCTCGTCAGGTCGGCATTACGATTTTAATTCACGAAAGGAGGTCAATGAAAAAATGGCAGCCCCTACCTTCATGAATCATGATCGTGATCTTAACTCCAATTAATTGAATAATTATTTTCATTTTCAGTAAAGCAAAAGTTTTATTGAAAGAGGGCTCTCAACCTTTTTCATTTGGCTGACTACCTTTCAATACATGTTCAAGTCTTCAAGATCATCTAACATGTATTTTCGCTGACTTATGAAACCCCTTCAGCACTATAGTTGATCTCCACACCAAGAAAAAACCTTGTAATCTCAATATACTTGATAGTAAGACTATCCTTATCCCCAACCCAACTCAACCCAACCTAATAATTAAAAATTATTTTTCTCTCTTCCACCTACACAACTCAACCTTACAACTTAATTTATCTTTATCCCCAACCCAACTCAATCCTTCAACGAAGGAAGATAGGCCAATAGCCGTACCAGAAAGCTTGACTTTACTGCCCTCCAGCATTCGTCTTTCAAACTACCGGGCCTAGGGGTGCAGTAGAGGAGTTTAGAACTACTCGACAAAGACTTTATTTTATTTTAATTTATTTAAAAATTACAATTTTATTCTAAAATATATCAAGTGTGGTCTCTATTTGTAGAGAATGAAAAAATACGAATTTTAATATTATTTTTATTTTTTTTAAACAAAAAAAAATACACTTATCCAATCAAAATATGATAAATGTCCATTCTCCAAACACTACACGGGTCGCGACCCAAGGTCACAATGTGACCTGGGTCGCTCACTTTTCGTCACCTTCCTTGTTTTTCTTTTTTTTTTTTTTTATATATTTTTTCTTTTTTTAATTGGTGACCCAACTCATGGGGTCACCGTTAAAGATGGTCTAAGTTGATGATCCAAAAAACACCTTCTAACTCATGTATCAAACCACTGCAAGAACCAATCACTACCACATCATCTACATACACCAATAAATTTATTGGGCCATATTCCTTAACTTATTTCCACTTAATTCTATAAGGATTAATCCATCACACAACCTAATCCAGAATACCTAACAAACAAAGCTACTAAGAACCCATTATTTATAATATTCGTGGACAAGGTATAAATTGCAAAGTAAGATAGTAATAATTCCATGGCAAAAGAAAAGTTGTGCAACTCACATAAGCATTACTTTAAACAACACAAATTCCCTTTTTATATATGCATAAATATGTAAGCACATACATAAACATTTAAATTACAAACTTTAATGAAAGGAAAAACAAAATGAACACAAGCCCATAAAAACAAACCACCCAAATATCAAAAGAAACACCCCAAAAAAAGCACACAAATTATTTCAAAAGCCAGCAAATAACCAAAACACATGCTTTTATTAGTGGCTCTCTTTTTCCTTCTCCTTTTCCTTTTCCTCATCACTCTTGGAGTGGTACCCAGGGAGCTTCTCCTTTATCTTATCCAATAATCCTTTCTTCTCCTTCCCCTCCGCCTCCGGCACGGCCGCACACTCCTCGGCCGGCGGCGGGGCAGCCACCTCCTCCGTCTTCTTGCCGCCGCCTGGAAGCTTCTCCTTGATCTTATCGAGAAATCCCTTTTTCTCCTCGGCATCATCGAACTTCTCCACCGGCACAGCCGTGTCCTCACACTTCTCCTCTTCCTTCTTTTCTCCAGATATTTTTTCCTTCACCTTTTCCTTCAAACCCTTCTTTTTCTTCTTCTTTTCCCCATTTTCGTCCACTTCTTCCTCGTCGCTCGACTGCACCATTAACCAATCAATATAACCAATTAAAAAAAAAATCAACAAAAAAATAAAAATAAATAAATAAAATTGTACCCAATAATTAAACATCAAAATAGTTTCATTTCCAGGAAAACAGAGTAAATTAACACTTATATACTAATTGAGATGCTTATTTAGAGAAATTGGGGCATGAATTAGGTCACTTACAGAGCTGCTGGAGCTACTGCTCCGGTGAAGCTTCTGGAGCAAGCCCTCGTGCTTTTTCTCCTCCTCTTTCTTCTCTCCTTCTCCTTCACAGACCTCGACTTTTTGTTCGAACTCGGCCGCAATCGCCTCCTCCTGACCGCACTTCTTCTCCTCCTCTTTCTTACCGCCGAAGCCAAAAAGTCCGCGGTCGCTGGCCTCCACCTGCGCCGGAGCGTACTCCTCCGCCTTGGGAGTGGCCTCATCAGCCTTGGTCTCGTGGTGGTGGTAATTCACTTCATCGGCCATTTTAAAAACTTACAAATTGATGAAAAGGAAAATAAAGATTAATGTAATTGATTGAGATTGATGTTTTTTTTTTTTTCTCTATTGACTGATTTGTGGATCTGAATGGATGAAGATGGCAACAGAGGTCCCGGGTTTATATAGGGAAGGATACGCGTAATGGACGCTGAGGATTACCATAATTTGTTTTTTATTTTTAATTTCAGACAATAATATAACTTTTCTTTTTTCTTTTCCTTTTTGGTGTTACAACTTACAAGAGCTGGCACAGTCCAAAAGCGACATAAAGCTTTTAAGGGCCAATCAATTGCTCATCATCATCGTTACCATCCTTTTCTGACGTGGCAGTTTCTTGTTTGTGTGGGTGTGGATGGGAAAAGTTAAAATTTAAAAATAGTCGTTTGTTTATAAATAAACCATTTATCCTGTGTATTGAAGATGGCTCGACTTATAGAGTCATTCATAATTATTCACAAATGTTGTATTGACATATGTCTCATAATAAATACACATTGGATATGTGTTATATATAAAGTTATGGATGACTTCATAAATTCCATAGAATTTTTGTCATCAATATAATTAATATAATTAAATAATACTTCCTCTTATTCTAAATAAGTGTCGTTTTGCGAAGATGCACAATAATTAAGAATCTTATTTTTGTCAATAATATTTTTAATTAATGAATATAGAGATGTATGTTTTAAGAAATGATGAAAAGTGAATATGAAAAGACGTAGTATGTTTATTAGTTAAATGAGGGTAATAATGAAAAAATATATACAAAAGATTCAAAACGTCATTTATTTGGTTAATGATTGATAAAGCCAAAATGACATTTAAAAAGAATAGGAGATAGTATCAATGAATATCTTTATACATCACATCAATTTTAATTCTCTACTAGTATTCGACCATGTGCATTTGCATAGATATAAAATACAGTATTATAAGTTATTTATATACATATGATATTAAAATTATAAGTTAGCTAATAGTATAAAATTTATAATATAGAGCATTATAAGTTATATTTACGCATATAATGTTAAAATTATAAGTTAGGTAATGGTATTTATGTTTTAAAATTTAATCATTGGTTAACATAAATAGTACGTAAATTGCATATGAATCACTGTATTGATTGAATAAAATATAATAAATAATGTAATATCTGTAATTTTTAGAGATCGTGATCAATTAATTTGCTGAAAATATTAAGTTTGTTAACAATTGCTTATGCGATTTTAAAGTAATTAAAATATTAAGTTTACTATAACAATTGCTTATGCTGAAAATAATAAGTTTTTTTATTTAATTATTTTAATATTATTTTTATATCCTTTATAACCACTATATTTATTATATATATATATATAAATATATATATTGTTACACTCATTTTTAATAATGACTAAGTAAATTATTTATATTTATCTATTAATTGATTAGTAAAAATATGCAATTACACGAACCTTATATAACCATATATGATTGTATATAATTAATTTTCGGTGAGTTCAATTTATGAAAAAATATATAAAAAATTAAAATAGATAAACATAATAATAAATTCTTTATATATACTTTTTTTAGTTATATATTTATACATATATTATATAAGAAAAATATGAATAATTTTCAGTTATTTATTTTAATTTATTTTCTGAAATAATATTTATTTTTCATATTTTTTTGAGTTTTCGTTTTTCTAAACCAAAACATAACGATATGAGAATTAATAATCTCATGTATTATTAGCAAAGGAAAGACCATAACTTTAAATAACCTCTAAATTTTATAACCCATTTAATTAAAATGAATAAGAGACCGATCATTCAATATCATATTATAACATTATAGTTTTGTTATGGAACCATCGGATTGTTCGGCTTATGGAGCCATCCATAGTTATTCACCAATAGTGTATTGACACGTGTCCTGCAATAAATACACTTTGGACAGATGTTAATACATTAAGTGGTGGATGCCTCCATAAGAAAAACCATCCGATGATTCCATAGAATTTTTGTATAACATTATATCAATTATTTCATAAAGGTTATGACATGAAAAGTATGCTCGTATTGAATTTTTTACTCATTTACTATTCACCGTCCCTCCTTTATTACTCACCGCCTCTCCTTTTTTACTCTTTTGCCCTTAACCTTTTTTTTCTTTCTCTCTAAACTCTCTACCTTTCTAAATTCCCGGACTTTCAACGAACGATTCGAACACCGAAAAAAATCCAAAAAAATGTCGAAAAAATCCTACGGCCTCGGCAAAGCATTCTTCTCTAACAAGGTAATTTTTTTTTTTGTTACGTACGAAAAAAATTTTAAATTTTCTTTTTTAATCTGAAGCCGCGTCCGGTCGCCGC